ACCGCTGGCAAGGTCAGGGCACTTGGTGGGGCCTGTCTGCAGCCAAGGCAGAAAAAGTGCAGCACGCAGTGCTGGCCTTGCACACGGTGACCCTGGCTCCATCCCTGAGTGACCCTCAGCAGTGCCAGGTGTGTCTCCCGGTGGGAGGCAGCAGGCACTTGGGGGCACTCACGGAAGCTGCAGCTGGAGGACATGAGGACAGGGAGGCCATCTGGGCAGTCTCACCTCGAGTGAACATCAGTGACCCTGGGGTCATGTCTTGGGCCCTGTCAGACCAGTGGCCCCACTTGCCTTGGTCCCAGTGCCCACTGCGGTGGCAGGCCCTTGGGAGGTTTGGCGGGCCCGGCAGGAGCCCTGCGGGAATCTCAACCAGGAGCGAGGCCCTTGAGACTCGCAGTCATATGACAATAATCAGGGCAAAGTGCACTGGCAGTACCATGCCCATGTATGGAGCGAGAGGCCTGGCTGGCGTCCACCCGCTAAGGTCAGCACCAGCTCTCCTGCAGGGGACCTTTGGACATGCCAGACTCTGCTGCCCAGCGTCAGCGTTAGCGCAGAACTGACATCATCCGGTGCCGGGCCTGCCCCACACCTGCCAAGGCTCTGCCCAGGTACGGTGAGCATGGCGCCCACAGAGAGGGGCCCCCCGGGCCTGGGTCTTCAAGCACAGGGCACTGACGGGGCTTCCCCAACGTCGTACAGGACAAGGGCTGTCTGCGCCCTGAAAGTGTTTCTAACTGGAGAGGATAATTTATTAGACTTGATTTTTCTTGGGACTGGTGAGAGGATGGGGCTACGGCGCTGGCTTGCCTGCGGGTGGCCAACCTGGGTGGGAGAGCCGGCACCGCACACATCACTGGGTTGGCCCTGTGTTCCGCGGGAGTCATTACCGAGCACCCCAGCCCACTCCTCAAAAATGTTTTTTTTTTTTTCCTGGCTGCTTGGAAGTTTGGGAGAACAAATGAGAATTTGGTTTCTGAAAAGAGCTTCATAATACCAGTTAAATGTGTTTAGTTATTTAAAATCACACGTATAAGGATTTTTTTTTCCTTTGGTAGTACTAGGAATTAAACCCAAGCCCAAGACTGTAAAGGTGGGTGCTCTACCCCTGAGCCAAATCCCAGACCTAGAATGTTCATATTGTTTTATTTTCATTTTTTTTTTTTTTGGGAAATAATAGTTTTATTTTAAAAAATTGACTTAGAGCAATGTGAGGGGAGAGAAAGATACAATATGGACTTCTCCAGAGGGAAAAAGCCTAATTTTGGTTTGGATTTGGGGGGCCATGGGGGGCAGGTGTGGGAGCACACCCAGTGGGGCTTAGGGTACCTTAGGAGGGGTTCAGTGGAAACAACCCTGTGACATTCTCAGAAAGCCTCAACCCTTTTCCTAAGGGCTCTCCCGACCTGGGGTCATCGTTAGTGGGTGGTTCCCACACTTTGGTGCCCCCAAAGAGCACGCCCATGGTGGTCCTGCCACGTCAGACCCCGCTGGGAAAAGTCACGTCCTCTGCAGGACCTTCAAGACCTGCGTCACCTTACGTCTGTGGGGCCAGGCCAAGTGCTGGTGTTTGGCCATTGGCCGATGCAGGTCCGGCCAGGAGACAGTTTCCTTAGAGTCCCCTGCAGGGCCGGCAGCTGGTGGCACTGGCAGTTGTGTGTCTGTCCCGGGCTGGAATCTGAGGACTCTTGCCTGTCAGAAGCACTTTGCATATGGGCCCAGGTCTCGGTCAGGAGTGACCCCTGAGCACCAACAGCTGTGGACCCTGCCCCAGCCCGGTGGTGTCCTAAGCAGACATGGCTTTTCACCTACAAGAAACAAGGTGACTCAGGCACGGATGGGGTGGGCTCGTGGCACTCTGCCGGACCATGAGCGGGCCACCACGCGCTCGGGCAGAGGGGCCGGGCTACCCTGTGGTTGGGAAGGGACTGTCCTACAGATTAACTTGCCCACCGTCGGCCTTCAGCCTTGGCCTGAGGTGTCCCCAGACTGGGTTGATTCTGCATTCATGGAGCCTGGTGCTGCAGGAGCCTGGGTGGGGCCACAGTTGGTGCTGCCCAGACTTCTGCTCTGCACGCGGATCACTCCTGCTAGGGCTGGGGGGACCCTGTGGGATGCTGCAACCCCATGAACCCAGGCTGCACGCTGGGGAGAGACCCAGAACTGGCAGCAGGGGGAGACTGGTCACGCCTGAGCCCTGAGATGGGTCCCGATAAGGGCTGTGGTTACCAGAAGGGGCAACTCTGGAAGGGCAGTGACGGGCCGAACTTGAGGCAAGATAAGGCCTTCCCATGCATCCCGGCTCCCCGTAGGTTCCCTCGTGTGCTCAGCCCTCGCAGATCCCGCAGATAGAGATGATCAGGAAGGCCAGGGACATGGCTCCACGCAGAGATGCCATGTCTGGGTGCTGGGCAGGCCTGTTGTCCTCAGCACTGTTCAGAGTCGCCTGTGGCTCCCGATCCAGTGAGGAGGAGGAAGCTGCCTGGCCAGAGCCAGATCTGGTATCCGGGGGGTGGGGTGGACCCGGGCCCCAGCACACCTTCGCTCGCAGGACCATGGTTTGGGTTTGCCCCGGCAGTCTTGGGGACCTGTGCAATGCCCAGATTCAGATGTAGGCCTCCCGTACACAAAGCCCCCATTGGACCACCCTCCCAGGCCCTTGGGACTGTGTTCAGCCCCTGCCCCTTGTGGGGTGCGGGCAGGGCAGTGTGGGGGAGCCAGTTGCTTCTGCCATCCGAGGCCTCTGGAGGTTGTGAGTGGTGCCGGGGTGTGTGCGGGCAGGACACAGATCCCTCCTCTGCGGGAGGGAGGGGGCCCCTCCCGGCACACATGCAGGTGCCCAGGCTGCCTCCCTGCGCTGAGGCTGTTTGTGGCTCAGTCTGCAGGTGCTTCCGGCTGTCTTGTGTTGCCGGTGACCCATGTTCTGTCTGCCTGCAGCCGGGCCCACATTGCTGAGTTTGTGCTCAGCCCACTGAAGCTTCCCTGGAATTCTCCCCCGGCACGGCCGGCGCAGTGCTGAGCCTCCCCTGACCCTGGCGGCCCAGGCCCAGGAGATCCTTTCATTCTAGTTTGATGCAGCCTGTTCCAGGGCTGCCTGCGCCCAGCCTTGCATGCGTGCTCCTGGTGTGCCCACCGGGCTGGTGTCCAGGTGCTCAGCGCTTTGGCTCAGCGGCTGCCAGGGTGGCTGTTCTTCGAAGGTAGAGGTGGGTGAACCTTGCTGGTCACCATCAAGCAGCCGAGCCTTCTGGTTCCAGGTCTGGGTGTCGTTTTGGGGGGCATAGATGGGGCCCTGCAGCTTCCTCAACCCCCTCCCCCCAAGACTGTGTGCCGGGAGGCTGGTGTGGGCACAGCTGTGGAGGAGCCCCGCACCGGGGGCAAGTCCTGTGCTTGGGACCTCCTCACACTGTAGTGGTGCCATCAACACCATTGTGGGGGCTCTGGAAAATGCGAATGGCAGAGGTGACAGTGGTAATCTCGTTTCCTCAGTTTCCCAGTCTTTAATGGCTGTCAGGCGTTTCACTGCAGTTTCTATTGTCTTGCTAGAACTCCACGCTGCTATCGGAGGTGGTAGGGCGGTAGGGCATTTGCCTTGCACACAGCCAGCCCAGCCGAGCTGGGTTCGATTCCTCCACCCCTCTCGGAGAGCCCAGCAAACTACCGAGAATATCTCGCCCGCACGGCAAAGCCTGGCAAGCTCCCTGTGACGTATTCGATATGCCAAACACAGTAACGACAAGTCTCACGATGGAGACGTTACTGGGCCCTCTCAAGCAAATCGACGAGCAACGGGAGGACCGTGATAGAACTCTCTCCCTCTCTCTTCCCCTCTCCCTTGCTCTCTCTCCCTCCCCCCTTTCTCCCTCCCTCTTCCTCTTTTTCCCTCTCCCCCTATTCTCTCTCTTCCTCCCCTCCCCCCATTTTATTTTTGTTTTTAGACCACAGTGCTCAGGCGTCACTCCTGGGGGGCCCAGGGGATGGACTGGGTGGGCTGCAGAGCACATGCCCTAGTTGCTGCACCATCGCTCCAGCCCCTCTTAATTTTGCTTTTCAAAACTACACCCTGAGGCTGTGGACGTGACTCGGGTAAAGCAGCTTCCCAGTGCCAGTGCCGGTGCCGATATTCCTCAGCTACTCCTTAGCTGCACGTGTGACCTTTGCTCCCGCCCCTTCACCTCAGCCTTCAGTAAAGGAGTATGAACAGATAAGAAATGACACACGTCCCGGGAGTCATCTGGTCTGGGAAGTTCAGTGGGCGGAGTGTGCTCCTTGGAGCAGGGGTTCACCCACACACATAGAGCCCACTAGCGATACACGCAAAATAGTGAAAAGTTCACTGCACTGACTGACGAGCCCAGTGTGCCCTGCGGTGCCAGCTGCCCAGGGCCTCCTGCCTGGGCCTGTGCCGCCACTAGCAGGGGGCCCAGCCCAGAAGCAGTGTTTGCTTTTGTAACGGTATTTTGGTGTTTTAACTTGCTTTTGCTGCTGGTGGTCGGCTCAGGGCTGACTCCTGACTCTGTGCTCAGGGACCACTCCTGAAGGAGCTCGGGCACCGTGTGGGTGCCAGCTTAGCTGCATGCAGGGGTCTGTAGTATCCCTCCACCTCCCCAAAAGTATGATTTTAAAAGGCTGAGTTAAGATAAAGACACATGCCGGGCCTTTGCGTCCGTCTCTCCCTGTTGGAGTGTGGTTGTGAGTCCAGATTATCATGCCATCCTAGTTCCAGCAGCTCTGCCGAGTCCCCTCTGCCAGCCGTGAGCATCCTGGAGGGGCAGGGGGCAGTTTCCCCCAAATAGCCAAGAGGATGCAGCCCCAGGCAGCCTGAAAGGGAGACCCTGGCGGGCAGGCTGGCACCACAACCCAGAAATGTGGCCTCAGGGAGCCCAGCCTGACCCAGAGCTGGCTGGCACCGTGCCGGACACTGTGTGGCCAGGGGGAGGGCAGGATGCCGGGGACTGTATGGGAAAGAAACCGCAGTGACCTATGTCCCTTTCTGTCTGCAGTCATGGGATATTTTCTTCCGGAACACCAATGCTGGAGCGCCCCCGGGCACCGCCTACCAGAGCCCGCTCCCCTTGAGCCCGGCCTCCCTGTCCACCATGGCCAGAGCGCAGCCCCTGGTGGGGGCACAGCCCAGCGTGGACAAGCTGGTGGAGGACCACCTGGCCGTGCAGTCCCTCATCAGGGCTTATCAGGTAAGGCCCCGCTGCCACCCGAGTGATGCTGCCCCAAAGCCCCAAACACAGGTGCACCCGCCTACTCGGGGACCCAACTGGCACTTCCAGAAACTTCCAAGATGGGCTCATCCCTGGCCACCGCTGCACATGTCCTGGAAATAAGTCCCTTCACCGCTTTCCTAAGTCAGAAAGAAAGATGTGTGGTCAGGGTGACCGCTGGTGACCAGGAAGCGGCCCCTCGTCAGCCGCCAACACCCAAAGACTGAGGGGAAATGAGCCTGTCAGTCAGGAGAGACCAGCGGAGTGAGCCTGGAGACCTGCCCTTCCCTCTGAGGAGAAGCCAGGCACCCCACTGGCTGGCACAGGCTTTCCCTCAGAGCTGTGTCTGCAGCAGCAGTGAGATGAGGCCTGAGGATGCTTGGTGGGAAGGGGCGTCTCCGCTCCTGTTTGTGCTTGGCTGAGTCCTGTGGACTGCCCGGGCCCAGCCTTTCCACCTTCCTCGGCACGTTTCTCTGTTTCGTGCGGAGGGGATGCCCCCGCCTGCCAAGAAGTGGGCTCTTCTCGACCTACCCACCACCAAAACACACAGCCTCTTTTTACTAAGAGCACATTGTGTTCGGTCATGCTTTTTAGATAAGCTGTTCTAAGGTGTTTTGGGGGGATTTTTTGGGGTGGGGGACTTGCCCAGCAGTGCTCAGGGATGACCCCAACTGTGCTCTGGGATCATTCCTGGCGGTATTTCGGGACCATATGAGATGCTGGGGATGGAACCTGGGTCAACCGGGCAAGTGTGCCCTCCCTGTTGCTCCGGCCCACGGTGGTTTTTTTTGTTTTGTTTTGCTTTGTTTGCTTTTGGGGTCACACCTGGTGATGCAAGGGGTTACTCCTTGCTCTGCACTCGGGAATTACTCCTGGCAGTGCTCAGGGGACCATATGGGATGCTAGGAATCGAACCCGGGTCGGCCACGTGCAAAGCAAATGCCCTACCCGCTGTGCTATCACTCCAGCCCCTCCCCTCCCCTCCCTCCAATTCCCCCCACCCCTGTGTTTTGTAACAGCTTATTTTTTGTTCTGGGTTCAGAGGGACTCTCAGGGACCAAGGGTGACTCACTTCCCCACAGCCCTGCTTAACAACTTGCTTGTGTTATTGCTTCCAGGTCAGGGGTCACCACATTGCAAAACTTGATCCTCTCGGAATTAGTTGTGTAAATTTTGATGATGCTCCAGTAACTGTTTCTTCAAACGTGGGTGAGAATTAATCCGTAACTGATACTTTAATGTAATTTTACTTTTTTTTTTTACCCCTTCCCTCTTTTTTTTCTCCTGTCCTTTTGTGTGTGTCCTGCCCTCCCCACCGTTGGCCCGCTCGTAGATACGAGGGCACCATGTAGCACAGCTGGACCCCCTGGGAATTTTGGATGCCGATCTGGACTCCTCCGTGCCCGCTGACATTATCTCCTCCACAGACAAACTTGGTGAGGGTCTGGCAGTCAGCACTGCGCTGCTCGCGCCCGTGTCAGGCTGGTGGTGGCCCGGGCGGCCACAGGTGCAAGGGACAGACTCTTAAGTTTCCTTCATTCTGATCACTCAAAATTTGTCAGTAACGCAGCCCTTCCTATTTTTATTTCTGGTTTGGGGGCCGCACCTGGCTGCACTCAGGGTGACTCCTGGCGGTGCCCGGGCTCGAGACCTGGGTCAGCCGCGTGTGAGGCAAGCGCTTCACCCACCGTGCTATATCACTCTGGCCCCGGGGCCAGTTATTTTCATTTCAATACAGCTGATTGTTTAAACGTCTCAAAATCGGAAAGTAAAATTTTGAACAGGAAAGGTTTGTGGCAGGAAAGGCTGGGGGGCAGATACCCCCGGCAGACTGGGGGTGTGGACGCTGCCTCAGAGACTAGCTCCTGGGCTCTGGTCTCCAGACCCCCTGCCGCACGCTGCCCTGCCCAGAACGGCCGTTGCCTGTGGCCTGCTCCGAGGCAGGGGCAGATGGCTGGGGCCTGGGCCAAGGCCCAAGCCAGTGGTGCAGTTTGGGATGTCTCGATTCTGAAATGCTGGTGATCACACTGAAGAAACTTCTGGAGGCGTCCCTGCGGGCACCCTCGGCGGGACGCACAGGGCCTGGCTGGGCACTCACCTGCGGCCGCTTCTCCGGCTAACCTGCTTCATTCACGCCACCAAGCCGCTAACCTGCACGGGAAGTGGCAGCAGGCAAGGCTCTCACGGACACGCATGCTAATCACACCGAAGGCCCCTCTGCTGCTGGGCGGGGGTGGGGGGGAGCAGGCGTCCGCCTGCAGGAGGCCACGCCCCCTCAGGTAAGGCTGCAGTTGGCCTCTGGACAGCGTCAGGCCCAGTTGCTCTTGGTTGCTGTCTCGGCCCTGCCCTGATCCCGCACCGTAGCCCCGTGAGGGAGGAGAGGAAGGAAACACTCTGTTGCCGTTGACTCAGCTGGTTAGCCTAGCCAGGGGGCCTGAGTGGCCTTCCCTCTGCAGCCTCTTCTCGGCCACCTGCTCGCAGTGGCTCGTGCACCACCTCTGGGGGCTTTTAAGCCCGGGATCCCCTCCAGGAAGGGCCCCTGCGCAGAACCGGTCTGGATACAGCCTCTGAAGCTCTTGTGGGCATGCGTGGCTTGCGTGGCTCACACAAGGAAAGGACCCTGAGCCTGTCCTCAGCCATGTCCCCTGCGTGTCCCTGGTGGTGTAGCCTGTGGTCAGCAGACCGTTGCAGTAGCTCTCAGCTCCCCCAGGCTCATCTCACCTGAGATGCGCTGGTCAGTGTGGGCGGAGCTCCTGCACTCCACGGGGCCTGACTACTCAGTCCTTGTCACGTGGGCTCTACCCAGCCCCACAGTGCCAGACACGGGGTCTCCCCAAGCTTTCTCCTTCCCTCGCTCACCCCAGCACAGTCCTGAGGGCTGTCCTTGCAGCTGCCGAATGACGGGAAGGGCTGGTGGGAAAGGCGGAGGTGGCCATAGCCTCCAGGCTGTGGGCAGGAGAGACTCTGTGTCCCCAGCTGCCAAGGGACAGCAGTGGGGAGCAGTCCCTCGTCCCGACGGGCAGGAGGACGGGTGCCACAGTCATAACGGCAGCAGCCAGCAGCCAGCGTTGTTCTCCGGCCTCTCCTGGCGAATGCGGGTCTCTGAGGACACAGTCCTGGGCAGGCCTGTCCCAACTCTGCCCAGACCAGGACCCCCACCCCCCCACCCCCCGGCCACCTCCACCTCCTCGCTGTGACGCTGTTTCCAGATTGAACTCTGTAAGGAGCTGGCAGAGGCCTGGCAGAGGAAGTCAGCAGTGACGAGTCTGAGCTGCGGCGTGGCCAGGCTCCTCGGGAACTCGGCGCTGGAGCCCGGGATGGGCAGTGGAAGGGGTAGGCAAGAAGTCATCGGAGCAGGCGCAGGTTTGAGGGGCCACCTCTGCTGCCCGCACCTTCCCCCAGTGTCCCTGAGGACGGACCAGCGGCTCCATCCACCGTGGAGGACGCCTGCGCTCCTGCCGCTAAGGGTGGTTGGCTCTAGTGGGAATTACACAGAATGGAGGAGCGCGGAGGGAAGGCTGGGCCCGGCCTGAGAAGAGAGGAAGCCGCCAGCTCGAAACCCCACCCAGAGAAGGCAGGCCAAGGGCCCACACCGGCCCCAGTGGCGCAGCACGTCAGTGGCATGGAGCTCGCCTGTTCGTGGCCGTGGGTCCTGGGCGCTGCTCCGGGAGGCCTCAGCACAGCCATGGGCCCTTGGACCTGCTTTCTTAGGGGTCCCAGGGACAATCGGAGCAGATGCAGCCCTGCCCGGTACCACCCGTTCGGCTTCTAGACAGCAGCGGGCAGGGCACACGCTGGTCTCGCCTTGCAGAGTGCCCCCCTGGCTGCATTGGGGACTTAGAGAAAGTATCATCAGTTCGTCTCCTGTGGGCTCTGCTCTTGGAAGTATCACTTGAGCATCAGAGCCCAGCTGTGAAGTGTCACTGTTTGTGGTGTCTGAACGGGTCTCGCAGTGACCAGGATTGAGGCTTGCTCACGTGAGGGAAGCAGAACGTCATTAAAGAGCTTGAGGGGCTGGAGAGATAGCACTGCGGGTAGGGTGTTTGCCTTGCACGCGGCCGACCTGGGTTCAATTCCCAGCATCCCATATGGTCCCCTGAGCACCGCCAGGAGTAACCCCTGTGCATCGCCGGGTGTGACCCAAAAAGCAAAAAAAAAAAAAAAAGCTTGAAACACAAGACCCGTCCCTCGAGAAAGGACGAGAGCCCCTCCAGCCGCTGGGATGGAGTCAGGTGGCTGCTCTAGGCTGTGAGCTTGATGCAGACTCACAAGCCCCCAAATGCAATGTCCGTAGTCGACTTCAGTGATGGGGTTCATGCTTCCTCTGACCGCCTGGGGCAGCAGGTCTACCCGATCAGGTTTTGCTCCCTGGGTGAGGAAGACTTGGTCGGATGGGGTGTTTTGCCTGGAGGCCACTCCCGACTACTCAAGGCTGACTCCTGACTCTGCACTCAGGGATCACTCCTGGCAGGACTCGGGGGACCCTCTGGGGTGAGGGGAATTCACCCAGATTGGCTGCATACAAGGCAAGCGCCCTCCCTACTGTCCTGTCTCCCCCCGGGGTTGGGGGGATGCACCCACCCAGCTGTGCCCAGGGCTTCCTCCTGGCTCTGCTCACTGATCACTTGAGAGGTCCTCAGGGGACCCTCTTGGTGCCTGGGATAGAACCAGGAGTCAGCGTGTGTGAGGCATGCACCCTGCCACTGTCTCTGCACCCACCCCCAGCTGGTTCTCAGTCCACTGTTGTGGCCTGTGTGCCATTGCTGGACCACCGTGGACTCTGCTCACCTCAAGAGCCGCCAGATCCCGCCATCTCTTACAGTCTTCCTAGCAGGAAGTTATCATTACTTTATTTCTTGGAGGTTGGGCCACCCCCAGTGATGCTCAGGGCTCTCTCCTGGCCAGCTAGGGGGACCTTACAGGGTGCCGGGGATCAGACTCGGCTCAGCGGCCTGCAAAGCAAGTACCCTACCCACTGTTCTATCTTTACGGCCCTGAGTGATTTTCAAAAACAGTGAAAGCCGTCCAGTAAGGCCCTGTATGTGCGATTCACAGCCAAGATGTATCTCCCACCCTCTGGTCACTTTGCTTTGTCTTTCGTTCGCACTTTATTTTAGAAACAAAATGCACAGAGGGAAAATGAAGGCGCCCGTGCCCTGGAGACATATTGCAGGGGTCAAGGCATTTGCCTTGCATCCCCTCTGGTTCAGAATCCCAGCGCCAGGGGTCACTCCTCAGCAAAGCTAGGAATAGCCCCTGAGCACTGCTGGGTGTGGCCCCAAACCAGAAAATAAAGAGTGACGGCCTCCATTCACTCAGTGGTACCCAGAGTGAGCTAGTCTCAGTAGTTAAGGACATCCTGTCTGGTACCAAGAGACGGTGCCTTTGCGTTCCCTTCCAGGCTGAGGGATCACCCTCCCTCTTGCCGAGCTCCTGTCTTGATCCTTCAGGGAGACCATCTGTTTTCCCTCCGCGCTGTCCTGTGGTCCCCAGCAGGGCCCTGCGTGCCCAGGGCTGGGCTCTCCTGGCTGCGTTCCACTTGCTCCTTGGGGGCCCAGAGCCTCCCTGTCTTTCGAACCCGCTGCTCTTGCGGGCTGAGGCAGTGTCTGCCTGGCAGCTCATTTCCTTCCCCTGGTGTCCAGCCAGTCCCTGCAGAGCGGGCAGGCTTGGCCTCCCAGGACAGGTGCCATTGCTAACACCTCGGCCTCCAGTCTGTCCAGCTTTCAGGAGTATCCGTGTTCCCAGGGTGTGTCTTCCCGTCCCTCCCTTCCTCCCTCCCTCCTCTCCTTCGCTGTGTGTCTGTGTGATGGAGCGTTGTTGCAGTGTGCGTCTGATGTTCTGGTGTGTGTGTGTGTGTGTGTGTGTGTGTGTAACTAACGCACCTGTCTTTTTCCTTCTGCGCTCATCCTGCTACCCCTCTCTGCCTCTCAGATCTTGCAGTTTTCAAGGAGCGACTTCGAATGCTCACAGTAGGAGGTAGGAGAAGCCGGGCCTCCCCTCCCCGCCAGGATCTCCATTCGAATAGGGCGTGCAACTTTCCCTAGCATGCCGTTTGGGGAAAGTTGACACAGCATCTTCATCTGTCAAGTGCTGAAGCTTGTCCATTGTTGGAAATTCTGTTCTCTCCCGTCACTTAGTTATTCGCCCCAGTAGAGCTCCTTCCTTGCCATGTCCTTGTCTTCGTCCATTCTGTGTCTGATGGGCATCGCCACCCTCACGTGTGCCAACCCCAGGGCTGCGTCCTGCTGAGTTCCGGGGCCACACCAGCTGCATGTTGCCTTGGTTGCCTCCACACCTGTGTGGTGCCTTCGCTGGACTCTGGATTCTTTCCAGTTGTGCATTCTGGGCATTTGGACCCCAGGCTCCCCGTGGTTGGCGGGTGTCGCTAAATGCTGTCCAGGTCTGAGCAGGGCACTCCACAGAACCCAGAGCGAGGGCGCGGGGCTACCACCTGCTGTCACCCACCCCACTGGCACTGCCAGGGCTGCCTCATTCTTTATCCTCTATCTTATGCATATCTTGAAGACGCTGGTGTTTTTATTTGTCTTTTTTTAATTTAGATGTTATGAGAAAATTATGTCTTCCTGTGCAGCCGTGGGGGATAAGCGAGTCCACATACCTTTCAGCTCGTTTGCACCATAACCCTGGTGTTACCTAGCACCCATGCTGTGTGGACCACTCCACCCCACAGCCCCACAGCCGTCTGTCCTGCGGCCCTTACATCCCTGCCACCCATCCACACCTCAGCCCTGGCAAGCACAAGCCTTCATCTGTCCTCTGTCGTACAAATGGAATCACTGTGGAATTTGGGATCACAGCTGGAATTGCCTTTGGGACTGGCATTTTTCAGTCAGCACCTCGAGACTCCTTTGAGACAGAGTTTCATTGGGTGGTTTTATCATGATGAATTTTTCCTTCTTATTCCTGATTATCTTAACCAGGTGCTCATTGAAGAATCTTAAGGGTTTTTTTTTAATTTTTATTTTTTAACAGGGTCTTTTGAGCAACAAAAGTTGTACATTTTCATAAAGTCCAACTTTTTCCTGTATGGAATGTGCTCTTGGTATCAGGTCTGAGATTCTTTCAGTAGCTCTTGTCTTGGATGGTCTGGACTTTCGGTTTGGCTTTGTTGCTAGGTGAACCCTGACTCTTAGCACTTTACCTCTGAATTACAGCCTGGTCTGTTTTTACATAGGGACGGAGTGGGTGTTGGGCCACACCTGGTGGTGCTCAAGGCTTACTCCGGGCTCTGTGCTCAGGGGGTCATATAGGGTGTTGGGGATGGAACCATAATGTGCCATCTACAAGGCAGGGTCCCTCACCCCTGTACAAACTCTCCTGCCCTAGCTGGATATAAATATATATAGATACATATATATATCTATATCTATATAGGTCAGTGCTCTTTATCAAGTTGAAGATTTCCATCTAATCCTATTTTTTATGCTTTTTATTGTAGTAGTATTTTTTCCCCACGTTTTCTGCATTGCTTGCTATATGGTCAGTAATTCGCCTTTTTTTTTTTTTGGCTTTTTGGGTCACACCCAATGTTGCTCAGGGTTTACTCCTGGCTTTGTGCTCAGGAATCACTCCTGGCGGTGCTCAGGGGACCATATGGGATGCTGAGGAATGAGCCCAGGTCAGCCTTGCGCAAGGCAAACGCCCTCCCCACTGTGCTATTGCTCTGGCCCCTAATTCTCTTCTGCCCAATAATGCGGTTCTGATTGATTTTCAGACATTTGCAAGACTTGCAGAGGGAAATGAGCCGTAATTGGTCATATATAGTTTTTTTATACACTGCTGCTTCTGTATGCTTATTTTTGTGTCTTAATGGAAGAGGTTAGACTGTAATTTTTTTTTCAAGCAGGGACCCGGGGCCATTCGCCATGATTCCTGACTAGCTGCGCTAAGTTATGTGAGGTCCTTAGGGTGCTGGGCCTCCGGGGCTGCTTGGGGAGCCATGTGGTAATGGGGCAGCGCCAGGCCCACCACAGAGATGTGCACCTTGACATCTGTCCCTGATATTCCCTCTCTCTCCCTCTCTCTCTCTCTCTCTCTCTCTCTCTCTCTCTCTCTCTCTCTCTCTCTCTCTCTCATGCAAGGCCCACAAACTGCAGTGCCCAGGGTTTATTCCTGGCTCTATGCTCAGAGGGCCACACGGAATGACATGTTTGTTTCTTGCAAGGCATAAGCCTTACCCGGTGTACTATCACTCCAGCCCTTCTTTTGTCTTTTTTTAAATTTTGGTTTGTTTGGGGCCACATCTGGCAGTGCTTGGGGGTTTCTCCTGGCTGTGCTCAGAGGACCTTGTGTGGCAGGAGGGTTGTGGGGCCTCTGTAGCCACGTGCACAGCAAGTGCCTCCCGTCCTATGCTAGCTCCTGGCCCCAGACTGAGTGTCCAGGTCAGTCTGGGCTCCATGATGAAAGTGGGAAATTATCTCTGGGAGTCGGTACAGAGCTAGTGTTCCCTTGCTCAGCATTTGGTAGAAGGTTCCGGCAGAACCCTGTGGGCTGGAAGAGCCCTCGAAGGGCTCTGCTCTCTGTGTCCTTAATCATCACAGTCATCGTGCTGGCTCCTTCCTGCTGGGCGGCTGATGGGAATCAGCGTTGGGTACTGGGTGGTTCTCAGGGTTCTGGAGGCTGCTCCCAGGACACTTGGCCTGTGCTGGACCACCAGAGCCTCCCCAGCAGTGCCTGGGACAGTATTCCTGGGGCTCCCTCCACACCTGGCATCCTCATGCGACAGTTTGGTGTCTTCTCTTTCTAGTGAGTCTTGCTAGAGCATTTCAGGGGCACTGAGCCTTTTCAGGACGCAGCCCCTGCTTTCACTGTTTTTTCTCCAGTTTTGTTCTTGTCAGTCTCGCCGATTGTCCATGTGTTTTATTTCCTTCTTTGCGATTGTTCCCCACACCGTTTCCTAGGGCCTTGCGGTAGGAACTCCCCTCCCTGGCGAGCGTGTTGGCTCCTCTCTGCCTCCCTTCTCGTCGACAGGGAGAGGGTCGCCACCTGTCTGCTCAGTGGCCCGGGGCCCCATGTGTTGTATTTGTGTTGGCCTGGGGCCACACCCAGGTTTGTTCCCCATATTTTTCTATTACTGATTTCTTCCTTGAGAGCCTGTGGTTGGAGAGTGCACTCTGATCTCTGCTAAACCTGGGTTTCGTTTGTTTGTTTTGTTTTGTGGCATTCGGAAAGCGTGTACCCTGACACTGGGGCCAAGGTGTTCCAGACTGACCCCTTCTGTTTCCCAGCTGACTTTCTGTTGGCATCTTCTGTCGACTATGAAGGAGAGGGTGTTGAGATCTCCCCCTGTAACTGTGGATTTGTCTCTTTCTCCTTTTTTGCCTTCCTGCCGGTCTTTGGATTCGTGTTTGGGGACCCCCACACGCTGTTCTCAGGAGATCCAGGAACTCCCCCACCTCCACACATGGGAAGCCAGGACATAGTTCAGGGCCAAGGTCCAAGGTGCAGTGCTAGGGATATGCTGGCGGTTCTGGGGGTCCTGCGCCACACCCTGTGATTCCTGGGGGGCTGTGGTGCTGGGCATGGGCCCCGGGCCAGTGTGGGCATACCGTCTGTGCCAGCTGCGCCCAGCTGCGCCCTGGGCTCATGACTTTCTCCCTTGATGTGTTTCCTCTGCTGATGAGAGCTCTGGGCTGGCTCCCCTCCCCCAGGGCCTGGCAGCCACTGCCCCCGCTGTGTTCGGGTGGGCATCCGATGGCTCCTTACTTTTAGTCCTTTACATCAGGATAGTCGAAAGTCAAAGGGAGATTTTTGGTTTAGGGGATTTTTTTCCTTTTTTTTTTTTTATTTGCAGCAGGGTTAGGGGTGGTTTAGATGTGCTCAGGGCTTACTCCGGACTCTATGCTCAGGAATTACTCCTAGCACGGCTTGGGGGACCCTATGGGGTGCCTGCTGGACTGTCCTTCTAGTCTTAGAAAATGTTGCTTCCAGGGCGGGAGGATCCTCCAAGTCACAGGAGCCTCTGTGACATTAGGGTCACTGAATGGGCTGGTGTGTCACCTCCTAGAAAGGGGGACAATCAAGGAATGTTTCAGAGATGGCCCTTGGGTTGTCGGTGAAGCTCAGCAAGCCTGAGCAGGAGTGAGGAGGGCAGTTCCTGTCGGTGAACTGGATCCTGGTGGGGCCTGCTCCTAGCTCCTTGGAAAGCAACTTTGTCGGGGGGAGGGCCCCCCCGAGTCTGTGCCTGTTGGAAAGGGCCTTCTCGGGGCCTGCGGCTCCTGAGCCGGGTGCGCCCCTTCTTGATGTGTATGCTTTGTTTCCTGGACGATGCCGGGGTGCGGGGGGCAGTGAAGAGTACGTCCACTCCACCCGCCCATGCCTGGCATCTCAGGCTCAGGAGCAGGCTGGCAGCTTGGCGTGGCCGATTCCCAGTGATGAAGTGAAGGCACACACCAAGTGACACGCATTTGCTGCGGCGGGTGTGGCCCAGGCCCCTCTGGGAGCGCTTGTCTCACTGTCTCTGGTGGACTCCGATGAAGGTGCTCCCAACCAAGTACAAGTCTGGATGGGCTGGGCCCCAAGTCCCTCGCCCGGTTGCTCTCATCTACCCCAGACTCTAACCTTCCTCCGGCATCCCCACCTGGGCGGCTGGGGCCAAGCGTCCCTCACGGGCCCATTGCTGGGAGGCTGTGGCTTGTTGGGAAACTGCAGCGGAGTCTGGCTTGTCTTTGGTTTGAGTTTGCTCTGGCGCCACACCCTGTGCTCGGAGGCTGCTCCTGGCCCGTGCTGGAGGACTGCTCTGAGGTTGCCCAGCTGGGCCTGGCACTCCCTCCAGCTGCAGGCAACCCCCAACGGGGAAAGCCTGGCACTTTCCTTTGCATGAAATAGACTTGAAGGGCAGGGAATGGGCTTTTGTGTCTGCCCCACCTCCCAGCCCACCTGGTCAGCCAGGGGCTTGGAAGCCGGCAGCACGTGGCCCTCACAGCGGCTCCTCCGGACACTTCATTTAGGCCAGGCACTATCGCCGGGAGACTGGACTCCCTTTTCCCGGCCACTGTTCACCTGGCCCCTTGGGCTGTGGGCCTCAAGCAGGCCGTCTCCTGGTTCTGAGCTGCTCCAGCCCCCCAGCTGTGCTGAGCCCAGATGCAGCAGCAGATGCTGCCAGAAAGAGCCTGAGAAGCACGTTCTGATGAGGAGAACGTGCCGGCGCCACCTCTCTGTCTGTCTATCTGTCAGGTAGTGACCACCAATGCCCAGAGAAGAGCCCACTTGACTGTGTGCGGCTGCCTAGCCGCTGCCCGCAAGTCAACTTCTTGGGGACTGGCCCTCACTTCCTGTCACCGCCTAATCTAATACACCAAAGGTCTCTCCTAACTCTCTCTTTCCACTGAAAATTTGCTTAGCAGTTTGTCACTTGCTTTCTGATTGATTTGCCCAGGGCCTTTGGGGACCCAGATTGATTTGTTTTGGGAGCCTGGGGTGGCTTCCTCTGAATCTTGGGCCTTCGCTGCTCTGGGCTGATGCCTGCATTATGGGATTCTCACCTGTGAGACGCAGGACTGGTCTCAGCCTCCATTTCTTCCTAAAGTTCTGGCTGTGAAAATCGATTTCTCTTATGTATCAGGAGATTTTGTGATATTTCTCTTCTCTTTTCTCACCTCTGGGGAGTTCTTTCTCCTTCCCAAAAACCACGACCCCCGTGTGGCTATGCCCGTCTCTCCTTGCCCTGCAGGGTTCTACGGCCTGGACGAGTCAGACCTGGACAAGGTCTTCCATCTGCCGACCACCACGTTCATCGGCGGGCAGGAGTCGGCCCTCCCCCTGCGAGAGATCATCCGGCGGCTGGAGGTGAGGTGCAGCTGTCATTCAGGAGAATGCCGGGCCTGGGTTCAAGGCCCTGCTGATTGGGGTTTTCCTTGGGCCTGTGGATCTTAGTTCAAGGTTTTGTAGCTAGACAATGTTTATTCTCTTTATTTGGTTGGTTGGTTCTTGGGCTACACCTGATGATGTTCGGGGGTTATCCTGGCTCTGTGCTCAGGAATCACTCTGGAGACCATATGGGATGCCGGGGATTGAACCTGGGCCGGCCACATGTACGGCCGCCACCCCACTCACTGTACTATTGCCCCGGTCCCAGAAAATGTCTGTTCTCACCATCAACCACAAAATGGAGAGGAGGATGTTGGCGGCCAGCCCCAGCAGGCGTTTACTGGAGATGCACAAGGCCTCAGCTCTCTCCTCTGCTCGACAGAGCCCACACCTGCTGTGTGCCATGGCTCCCACAAACACCGGCTCTGCCCTATGCGGCAGCTCTGTCCATCCCAGAACCGGGCCTCTGCGCTCACCACTGCCCTCTCCTGCCCACGTCCTTCCATTCTTGTGCTCTCCCATCAGCACTCCTGGACACAGTGCTCAGTTTCTGCCTGTGTCTGTGCTCCCTCTCCAGCTAGCATTGCCACCTTCTGTGAGGAACGGCGGCCTCCACTCGGACCCCTGGGGAGGGCGTCTGCACTGCCCACGCCCCGGGCACGACGTTTTCCCTGCTCACATGCAACAAACCCCCAAATCATTTTCAAAGAAAGTTACTGAAGTAATGTCAAGGGGCCGGAGTGAGAGTAGAGCGGGAGAGTGCTGGTCTTGCATGTGACTGACCTGGGTTTGACCCCAGCACTCCATGTGGACCCCAAGTCCCGCCAGGAGTGAGCCCTGAGCATTGCAGGGTGTCACTGTCACTGTTCACTGTCCTCCCATTGTTCATCAATTTGCTCAAGTGGGCACCTGTAACGTCTCCATTGTGAGACTTGTTACTGTTTTTGGCATATCGAATACTCCACGGGGAGCTTGCCAGGCTTTGCCGTGTGGGCGAGATACTCTCTGTAGCTTGCCGGGCTCCCTGAGAGGGGCGGAGGAACCAAACTCGGGTCGGCCATGTGGGCTGCTTGCAAGGCAAACGCCCTACCCACTGTGTATCGCTCCAGCCCATCGCTGGGTGTGGCCCCCAAAAACACAAGACTGAGGAGACCTGGGCTGGGGTGCAGCCCTCATGGCCCAGACCCTTAAGGCGACAGCATTCCTGGGAGTGATCCAACCTGGGCCAACCTGAGCACTGTAGGAGCCGGGAGAGCACTTTGCAGGCAGGAGCCCTGAATTCGAGCCCAGAGCCTCGTGCTCAAATACCTCTGGTTGTACCCACAGTATAAAAAACACAGCAAAACCCTGTAAACTCCCATGGAGCATGGGAGAGCCCGGTGGGCGTCAGTGCCCGCCTCCAGAGCACCTGGAAGCGGCCACGGTGCAGGCAGAGCTGGGCGTCAGGCTGTATAGCACTCACAGTGCTCCTGGCAGAGATCCAGCACTTGCGCCCCCTCACTGCCGTGACCCCACATCTGCTCCTGTTGACCCCTCACCTGCAGTAGCCTCACACTGTGGCCCCACATGAACTGTCCCAGGCCTGCTGCAAGGGGCTGGGGACAGGGTGGCTGGGCCTGGTCCCAGTGGCCGTCGTGCATGCCAGGTGGGTGCCCGGCTGACGCGGGCCTGTGCTGCAGATGGCCTACTGCCAGCACATCGGGGTGGAGTTCATGTTCATCAACGACCTGGAGCAGTGCCAGTGGATCCGGCAGAAGTTCGAGACCCCCGGGATCATGCAGTTCACCAACGAGGAGAAGCGGACGCTGCTGGCCAGGCTTGTGCGGTCCACCCGGTGAGGCCCCCCCCTCCACGGTGGACAGGCCTGCCCCGGGGGCGCGGAGGCAGAGAGGCTTGGAGGGGGGCCGTGGCCGAGGTCGGGCATCGCCCATGTCCTGTGTGCAGGTTTGAGGAGTTCCTGCAGCGTAAGTGGTCCTCGGAGAAGCGCTTCGGCCTGGAGGGCTGCGAGGTGCTGATCCCGGCCCTGAAGACCATCATCGACAAGTCGAGCGAGAATGGCGTGGACTACGTGATCATGGGGATGCCGCACAGGTGCTGCTCCCGGTGGCGCTCTGCACTGGGTTGGGGGGTGGGTCTGGGGCCGCCACCCACCCTCGACCTTCCTCTTTTCCTCCTTCCGCAGGGGGAGGCTGAACGTGCTCGCGAACGTGATCAGAAAGGAGCTGGAGCAGATTTTCTGTCAGTTTGATTCGAAGCTGGAGGCTGCTGATGAGGTAGGCGTGTGCCGTGCCCGAGAGAGGGAGGGAGGGAGAGAGAGAGAGAGAGACCGAGACGGGGCAGCCTCTCCAGCCGAGGCTCAGACCGGCCATCTGCCCTCAGGGCTCTGGGGACGTCAAGTACCACCTGGGCATGTACCACCGGCGCATCAACCGCGTGACCGACAGGAACATCACGCTGTCCCTGGTGGCGAACCCGTCCCACCTGGAGGCTGCCGACCCCGTGGTGATGGGCAAGACCAAAGCCGAGCAGTTCTACTGCGGCGACACTGAGGGCAAGAAGGTGAGGCGGGGGGGGGGGGGGCCCTCGGTGGTGCCCCCGCAGTGCTCACACGCCCGCCAGTCAGGGAGGCTGTTCTTGTGTCAGCCTCGAGGCGGCCAGTGCTGGACCAAGGATTTTCACCGCACAGGAGTCGACTCCTGGGCAGGCTGGAGAGGGTGGGTGCCTGCTGCCAGAGACCCTTGTCCCAGTTTCCTCTCAGGAGAGACTCTCTGGGTCGTTGATTCTCCCCTCAGAGTGCCCTCGGAGTCCAGCAGTGTCTGTCCACACGTGAGCGCTGGGGCTCGGACACGGCCTGGCCCCCTTGCTGTCCGGAGACAGAGGACGCTGAGGACCGGGCCTCCCACTCGGGAGCTGGAGGGGTGGGCGTGGCAGCACCTGCAGAATGGAGGCGGGTGTGTGGGGGGGGCACCAGCGCAGCTGAGACATTGACTCACACTCAGCCACAGAGTCGGGGGGGAAGAGAATGTTCTCGGGGGGGGGGGGGGGGAGAGGGTGTGGGCCGCAGTCACGAGGAGAACAGGATTGGCTTGGGGAAGCGCTGGCATCTGGAAACTGAAGAGTCCAGCTGCCAGAGGTGGAGCCCAGTGTCCTCCCCTGGATGCGTGGGGGCAAGCGCAGGCCCCTGTGCTTTCGCTCTGTCTGTGACTTGAAATCCCCGTGAATGTTGTCAGCCTAGACAGTTGAAGCAGAGGGCACACTGGCAGAGGGGATGGGCAGGCAGGGATGGTGTTGAGGCAGCACGTGGTCCTTGCACGGTGCCGCACAGGCCGCTGGCTCAGGGTGTGTGTCTCATTGCAGTTACCTCCCTTGGCCTGAGTGCTGGCCAGTGCCCCCAGAAAGCTCCGGGTCAGCAGGGAGGGGCCAGTTCCACCCACAAAGCACGTCACGGGCTGTGCTCCCAGGTGCCTGGGCAGGGGAGCAGAGGTCTGGGGCGGGGGCTTCCCGCACTTCCGTTCCCGCACGCAGCCCCCAGACCTGCGGGGGCAGGGCAGGGAAGCACAGGCACTCAGGCAATGCTTGCTTGGAGCCCCCCAGGGTGCTGGAAGTCGGTTGCACTGGCTGCCAAGGAAAGCGGGCTACTCATGTCTGTTGGGGTTGAGGTGCAGGGCTCGGAGGGTGCACCGATCGGCTCTGTGACTGCTCCCTGACCCTGCCCTGGACCTCCATGCCCCTGGCCCAGCATCCAGTGTGTAGAAAGGTGGATGATTCAGGCTGAAGGGACGGCAACAGCACTCGGCCATTGGCTTCTTACATACTGCCGACCCCAGCTCAAATCCCCAGCACGGCATGTTGGTGCCCGAGCCAGGAGTGGACCCTGAGACGGCGGGAGGGTCCCCTCCTCCAAAAAAAAGAAAGGGAAAAGAGCAAAACAGGAGGGGTGAAGGTCCCTGTGTCCACCGGCAGGCCACCCACCAGGGCAAGCAGGCATGGGGAAAGCAGGGCCACAGCGAGCGTCAGGGCGGGAACACAGCATCTCCTGGTGCAGGAGGTATTTATAATCCTGGAGTGGGAGGCTCTGCAAAGCAGCTGGGACGGGGATGCGTGTGGCGCTTGTTCGGCAGATGCAGTTACACCTGCTGTGTGCCTGCCCACACCCAGATGCAGTTCCACCTGCTGGGTGCCTTGCCCACACCCAGATGCTGCTGAGACTTGACTGAGGGACGGGCCTCCTCCGTAGAGAAGTGGCCACTGCCAGGGCAGGGACAGAATAGCACGAGGCTGGCCTCTGCTTTGACACATACTGGACACCCCTGAAACGTGCAGGCAGTGCAGGCCCTGGAGTGAGCACTGCCAAGGGGTTGCGGAGAGGAGCCTGGTGACCTGGGCTTTCCTGAGGAATGGGGTGTGAGGGTTCTCCACAGACGGTCAGACCCAGGACACGGAGACGGGAGAGCCCAGGGCTACACCAGGCTGCAGGGCCCAGAGGATGCTGCACAGTCTGGGGAGTCTGGGCTCAGGGCCAGGCAGAGCCCGTACTGGTCTCCCACTTGGAGGTCTGAGTGCCACTCTTGGGGGTGGGCCCCGGCCGGTATGTCTGGGCAGGACTGTGCAGAGGGCCTGCGGGCTTCGGTCCTGGCTCCCTGCCACTTCCTCACTTGGATCTTGTTCGGGCTGACATTTCCCTGGCGGGAAGCAGACTGTAACCGGCCCTTGCTTGGGCCTTGTGCGGGTGGGCCAGGCAGTGTTTAATTTGGCTCTGCTCTCTGCAGGTCATGTCCATCCTTCTCCATGGCGACGCCGCATTTGCTGGCCAAGGCATCGTGTACGAGACCTTCCATCTGAGCGACCTGCCGTCCTACACAACACACGGCACCGTCCACGTGGTCGTCAACAACCAGGTAATTCCCCTCAAGCCACAATGATCCCAGCAGCTGTCCCCCGCACTGACACCCCCTCCCCCATCCCAGGTACCCTCCCCGTCCCTTGCTTTATCCAAAGCAGACTCGGTAACTCTAAGATCTGAACTATAGGCAGTGGACTTTGAACACCAGGCCTCTAAGCTCTCACTAAACGTTTCCATGACAGGATTAAAGATTGTGGAATTATTAATTTCCTTCCAGGCCCACAGACGTCTGTCTTTATGTGGTGGCAAGCTGGGTTCTGTGTACACTGTCCTGTATCCACTTCTTTTTTTACCGTAGTATCTTCTTGTATGTACTCAAAACACTAACTTGAATGAAAATATTTGCTGTAGACTAATAAGAATTTCAGGAGTCTCATTTTTTGCTCTTGTAATTGATACTGTGATACAGAGTCTGCTTGGGTTGGGCAGGGGGGAGGGGCGCTGGCTGACATACCTGCCGGTTGCCACGGATCAGACCAGAGTCGTCGCATGCAGGTGAATTTGTGGCTCCTGAGGAGCATTCTTATAAATCCGTCCCTCCCCCTCCCCCTTCCTATCCCTCTCAGCCCTGCCCCGGGCCAGTCCTTCATCTCTGAGCTTGCCCTGATCTGTGGGGCTGTCAGCCCTGCCCATGTGGTGGGGAGGTGAGAAGGCGGGAGGAGCCGCCAGCAGGGTCGAGGCGGGCCAAGGGAGTGGGGAGGGAGGCTGGGGACCCCAGGAGAGAGACCCAACGGATGTCACTAAACTGATTTTGGTTCTCCCGGATGGCTTCCATTCGTGTGAAGCGCCTTCTCCTCCCTGACCTGTAGGTTTTTTTTGTTTTGTTTTTCGTTTTTATTAGTGAGACACCATGAGGTACAGTTGTATACTCACAAATTTTTGTGCTTGAGTTTCAGTTATACAGTGATCGACCAGTGCCTATTCTCCATCACCAATGATCCCAGTATCCCTCCATGCCCCCATTCTCTCCTTCCCACCCCGCCTCTGTGGCAGGGCATTCCCTTCTGTTCTCTTTCTCCTTTTGGGCGTTGAGGTTTGCAAAAGAGGCATTGAGTGGCAGTCATGTTCGGTCTATAGTCTACTTTCAGCACATATCTCCCATCCTGGGAGGATCCTCCCAACACCCTTTACTTGGTGCTCCCTTCTCTACCTGAGCTCCCTTTTCCCCCTAGAACGTGTGGCTGGCCTCCAAGCCATGGAGCAAACCTCCTGGTGCTAACCTTGGCCACTCTTGGGTGGTAGTCTCCTATTTTGTTACTGTAGGTTTTCCCCGTGTTGCCCCTTCCCTTCCGTGGCTGCAGTTGCTCTGGTGGGGCCTGAGGTGCTGATCTGTGGTGCGCCCCTCGACGGCGTTCCTGGCTGCAGTGCTCACCCCAGCCTCGGCTGCATGACCAGAGGCCCACTTGTCCCCTTCTTACTGCGATGCTTGCTGGGGCTCCCCCTGAGCTGGAGGCCGGCACAGCCTGATGCCGGAAACTGTGAGCGAAGCTGTGGGGTCGCAGGGTGCACGCGCTCCCTCTCACAGAGACGGCGGGGCTTCCCCAGGCCGTCCAGATCACCCGCAGGAAACATCTCTACTTGACTTGTGCCCTTGCTGGCTTGAGTTATTGTCTCTTTAAAAGTATTTCATTCACTCTAGCCAGTGACAGGGCATTTTTGTGACTGACTCACTTACCTTCCCCTAAACTTAAAGACCCTAAACATCTTTTTTATTTCTGTGTATGTCAGTCTGTGTTATCACCAAAGTAAGACTCAAGTGATGTCTGTTGGGCTGGGGACTGTTTCAGTGAGGAGGGGCCATGCCCGAGTGCTGCCCTGAACCCCGCCCTACCCTGCCCTCACTCTTCTGCCCTTTTAATTTTATTCTGAAGTGAATTCCTTCTAGCCACTCAAGTGGGTGTGAAATGGTACTGGGGCAGTTTTGCTGACGAATGACATTGAGCACCTTCCTCTGCTCACTAGCCAGGTCCAGGTCACGTCTGGAGGAATGTGCATCCCGGCCCCTCACTGAGGTTCCCCATGAAATGCCCTTCTTAATTGAGCTGTGAAAATTCTTTATTTTGGACAGACATCACTTTACCAGACAATGATTGGCAAATATTTCCTCCAGTTCTCTAGGCGATTTTTTTCACTTAATGTCCTTTTTCTTTTTCATTTATTTATTTACTTATTTATTTTGCTTTTTGGGTCACACCCGGCGATGCTCAGGGGTTACTCCTGGCTCATGCACTCAGGAATTGCTCCTGGCGGTGCTCGGGGGACATATGGGATGCTGGGAATTGAACCTGTGTCAGCCATGTTGGCTGCGTGCAAGGCAAACGCCCTCCCCGCTGTGTTATCGCTCCCACCCTGTTGTTGTTGTTATTATTATTGGTTTTTTTCCCCTTTTTTCACTGCCCAAACAAGAGATTGACTGGGGAGCAGTGGGCAGATGCCCAGCAGGCATGGATATGGTCATTCTGCACACAGGCCATCGCTGAGAGGCCTTAGGGCCACAGTTGGGTCCTGGTCTTTGGTCCCTGGTCTCCTTCTCCAGCAGCCCAGAAGCTGCCCAGGCTGGCCCCTCGCCCCATCCCCTCCGCCGCCCTGTCTCCAGCCACTGCCAGCCTGCACACGTGTCATGCCACACATCCCCAGCGATGTTCTGGGGCTCTTCTCTCCCAACTCTTGTTGGCACCAAGCATTGCCAAGAGCAGACTGCCCGATGCCCTTCGCATGGCAGGAGACTAGGGATTCGGACTCTCGACCGTGTGTTTGTCTCGGATGGGAATATTAGCTTCTCTCATTCCCTAAGTCTTGGTGAGACGGTCCCATTGCAGTGAGTGGAGGCCCAGTGTCCTCCTGAGGCAGCACTGTGTCCCCACCCCCACCCCCACCCCCAGGACTCTGGCGAGCACAGATCTCTCTGTTCTGTGGATTGGCGACTGTCTGTTGAACCTCAGCAGCTAACAGGGCTGCTCCCTGTCTTTGGAAAGGAAAGTGTGACTTAGATGGAGGCAGGAGGGAGCAAGGGAACTTTTGTCTTTCTAAACTGTTTGAGGTATCGTAGTTCAGAGTGGTATGGGTTTTTTTTTCTTTTTGGGTCACACCTGGCAATACACAGGGGTTACTCCTGGCTCTGCACTCAGGAGTTACTCCTGGCAGTGCTCAGGGGACCATATGGGATGCTGGGAATCGAACCCGGTCGGCCACGTGCAAGGCAAATGCCCTACCCGCTGTGCTATCTCTCCAGCCCCCATAGTGGTATGGTTTTTTGTGGGTAGGTTGGGCCCACTCCCAGTGCTCTGTGCTCTTGATGTGCTGACCGCGTGCAGGGCTTTACCTCTGATTCCCAGCAGTGATCACTCCTGACTCTATGCATCGGAATCACTCCTCCCCAGCTCTGTGGAAAGGAAAATAGTTTTCATTCTGTATCCCGTGGTGCCAGGGATCACATATCCCCATATGGTCCCTTCGAGTCCTGCCAGGAGTGGCCCCTGAACACTGCCAGGTGTGGCCCCAGAACAAACAGAGAAACAATAGGCCGGGGTCACCCACAGCCCTCGGCCCTCAGGACCTCACTCAGGCTGTGTCCTTGGCAGATCGGCTTCACCACGGACCCGCGCATGGCCCGCTCCTCACCCTACCCCACCGATGTGGCCCGAGTCGTGAACGCCCCCATCTTCCACGTGAACTCAGATGACCCCGAAGCCGTCATGTATGTGTGCAAGGTGGCTGCCGAGTGGAGAAACACCTTCCACAAGGACGTGGTGGTGGACCTGGTAAGTGGGTGGGAGCCCAGGATGGTCCCAGGTCACAGCGTCACAGAGTGAGTGGACGCCGAGGGGTCGCGTCCTGCAGAGCACCGAGGCCTCTTCTGTGTGTGAGCTGTGTCCCTCTGCCCAGGTCTGTTACCGGCGGAACGGCCACAACGAGATGGATGAGCCCATGTTCACGCAGCCACTCATGTACAAGCAGATCCGCAAGCAGAAGCCGGTGCTGCAGAAGTACGCGGAGCTGCTGGTGTCCCAGGGCGTCGTCAACCAGCCCGAGTACGAGGTGCGTCTCGGAGGGGAGTGGGATGGGTGGGCTGGAGCCATGGCACAGCAGGGAGGTCTCTTGCTTGGCACCCAGCTGACCTGGGTTTCATCCCCGGCACCACATATAATCCCTCAAGCCCACCAGGAGTAAGTCTGAGCACCACTGGGTGTTGGTCCCTCACCCCCCCCCAAAAAAGAATAAAAGAGAAAGATGGGGCGGAGCCTGGCCAGCACCTCCGCACAAGAAGGCACCACAAGCCTCTCTGACTCAGGCGTGTGAGGGCAAGATGGGCGCCGCCCTGGGGCTGGCGTGTGCATGGTCATGTGTGTGCCGTGGGGCTGTGTGTGTGGCCTGCGTGGACCCCGACAGCCTAGTGTGCCCGCAGGAGGAGATCTCCAAGTACGACAAGATCTGCGAGGAGGCCTTCAGCAGGTCCAAGGACGAGAAGATCCTGCACATCAAGCACTGGCTGGACTCGCCCTGGCCCGGTGAGCCAGCGGGGCAGGTGGGGGCAGTGCCGGCCACGCCAACTCCCCTCACCCCCTCTCCTTGGGCAGCAGGCCCGCACTCATCCCGTCCCCTCCCCAGGCTTTTTCACCCTGGATGGGCAGCCCCGGAGCATGTCCTGCCCGTCCACGGGCCTGGACGAGGAGATCCTGACCCACATCGGGAAAGTGGCCAGCTCTGTGCCCGTGGAGGACTTCACCATCCACGGAGGTACCACATGACACTGCCTGGGCATTGCAGGGCCGAGCCAGTCACCTGGGCCCTGGCCCAGCTCCAGCAGTCGGGATCCCCAGGGTTGAGGCCGGAACGGCTCTGCCAGTGTCCACCCCGGGGAGAGGGACGCTGGGCCTGGCCCTGCCCCCCGGTGATCACCGTGTGCCCTCAGGCTTGAGCCGCATCCTGAAGACGCGCGGAGAGATGGTGAAGAACAGGACTGTGGACTGGGCCCTGGCGGAGTACATGGCCTTCGGCTCCCTCCTGAAGGAGGGCATCCACATCCGCCTCAGCGGTCAGGACGTGGAGCGTGGCACTTTCAGGTGACACCCCTGGGCAGCCGGGGGTGGGGCCAACTATGCTGGTCGCAGTCTTTCCAGAGGCTGACCCTCCCTGCTCCTGCGGGCGGGGCGGGCCTGTGCCTGGCGCTGGGCTGGCAGCTCCTGCCCACACTGCGCCTCCTCCTCAGCCACCGGCACCACGTGCTGCATGACCAGAACGTGGACAAGAGGACCTGCATCCCCATGAACCACCTGTGGCCCGGCCAGGCACCCTACACCGTGTGCAACAGCTCCCTGTCGGAGTACGGGGTCCTAGGTGAGTGAGGGGCCCCGAGCAGGGTCGAGCCCGCCCGCCCCAGCCCTGCCCCACCCCTGACACCCCCTCCCTCTTTATAGGCTTCGAGCTGGGCTTCGCCATGGCCAGCCCCAACGCCCTGGTGCTCTGGGAGGCCCAGTTCGGGGACTTCCACAACACGGCCCAGTGTATCATCGACCAGTTCATCTGCCCGGGCCAGGCCAAGTGGGTGCGGCAGAACGGCATCGTGCTGCTGTTGCCCCACGGCATGGAGGGCATGGTGAGCCCCCCGGCCTGCGCACGCATAGACAGGGTGAGGTGACGGGGGATGGGCGCCGGTGTCTCACCCGCATGTCTCTTCCAGGGCCCAGAACATTCCTCCGCCAGGCCCGAGCGCTTCCTCCAGATGTGCAATGATGACCCAGATGTGCTGCCAGTGAGTGGAGCCTCGGCCCTGTGTCCCTGCGCCCCGCCCTTCTGGGGTGCTGGGACCCCTGAGATGCCCCCGCAGTGAGGGGTTGCCTCGGGCTGCCTGCTCCGTGCCCCTCCCCCGACTCAGGGCTGGCGGGCAGCCCCCGGGATCCGATGCTGCCGTGTGCCCCAGAGCAGGCCCGGGCAGGTGAAGGGATTGTGCCTCCCACTCCCACTCTGTGCAGTCACGGTCCCCCTCCACCCACTCAGACCCTGGCCACTGGCCGTCCCCTCCCGCAGGACCTCACGGAAGCCAACTTCGACATCAACCAGCTGTATGACTGCAACTGGGTGGTTGTCAACTGCTCCAGCCCCGGCAACTTCTTCCACGTGCTGCGGCGCCAGATCCTCCTGCCCTTCCGGAAGCCGGTCAGCGGGGTCAGGGGTGTGGATGGCGGGCGAGCCCTGGCAGATCCCTGGGCTAAGGAGTAGGGGTGGGAGAGCCTTGGGGTACGCAGAAGGGACAGCCCTGGGTGTGGGCAGGGCTGAGGGGCCAGGCAGTGGCACGGTGAGTGCCCAGGGGGAGGCCTTCTGCAGAGAAGCGCGGGAAGGTGGGCCTGTGCCTGCACCCTCAGAGCCCAGCACTGCCCACTGAGCCTATGGTTACGTTGCAGTTGATCATCTTCACCCCCAAGTCTCTGCTGCGTCACCCCGAGGCCAGGACCAGCTTCGATGAGATGCTGCCAGGTGGGTGTTAGGGAGAAACGCGTGTTGCACTGCCCGGGCCTGGCCGGTGGTGTCTGAGGTGAGTGAGGGTGTGAGACCATCACCCCGAGGGTGGCCAGTGTCCTCCTGCCAGTCTTCTCTAGCCATGACCCCACATCTCCGCTCTAGCCATGATCCAGCTAGGAACAAGGCATAGATAACTGCTCCTCTGGGCATATCACCTTGAAGAAGAAGTGCGGGTCTTCACCAGTCAGGTGAAGCCTGGGTCTGCATCTCCGACTGTAGTGGTGGGTGCGTGTGGCATTCACGCTGTGTGGCCAGCACCCCGTCCCAGCCCAGGGCACTTTCCCATCTTCCCAAGACTGGAGCAGTAGCACAGCAAGGCGGGCATTTGCCTTGCATCTTCCGAAACTCCAGTTCTGCCCTGCCCTGTGGGCCCACAAGCCCCACTGTTCCGCTGAGCCCGGCAATAGGGGCCTGCCGGGAAGCTCATTCAGGGTGTGGTGCTTTCTGTGACTGGCTGACTTCCCTCTTTTTAAGAGCTGACCAGGCCTTGGTTCTCTGGGTAGACTCCGTTCTGCTGATCTAGTCTGTCAGTCGTTATGTGGTATACACCCACATCTCAGCTCTAGCCATGATCCGGCTAGGAACAGATCATAGATAACTGCTCTTCCGGGCATATCACTTTGTAAGAAGTGCAGGTCTTAGAGATATTAATGGATTTTTTTTTTCCAGAGGCACTAGACTATTTCCACAACATTTAGCCCATGTCACCTTCCCACCAGCAATATGCAAGCATCTGATTTGTCATTGACTTTAGGATAGAGTTCCGTGGGGCTGGGTTCACGTCTTTGGGTTTGAACAGGCTCCCTGGCCCCACCAGGGTGCTCCCTATGCTGTCCCCCGTCCAAGAACCTCCTGCCGCACCTCCCCCCACCAACTCCTTCAGCAGTCACTGGTGGGTCCCGTGTCCAGAAGCTAGTCTTGTTTGCTGGTCTGTTTTGGTGACTGGCATCCCATGTGCCCGGGACAGTCAGTGTCATCACCTGAGGCTCCGTCCTTTTCATCCCAAATGCCCCTGTCTCTTGTGTTTTGCGGCAACATGGGAAGATGCCATTGTTGACAACATTGACGAGGAATACGATCGACTGGTTCAGCACCTCCATGAATGTGCGAGGAACACCAAGAGAGAGATAGCCACAAAAAATCGCCTATCTTCAAAAACTCTTGAGCTAATTCACCAGCGTGGTTTGGCGCATGCCTCAGGCAACCGCAAGCTAACGTCCGAGCTCGCAAAGCAGTGCAGAGATGCGATCAAGGAAGACCTCAAAGAGAGAAGAGCAGAAGTACTGGTAGATGCGGCAGAAGCCGGGAAAAGTATTCGTAACGCCCGCCTGTCCTTCGCCAACTACAAGACCAAGATGACTGCCCTCCGACATCCTGATGGATCCATCACATCCTCCAGAACGGCAATGGAGAAGATTATCCATGACTTCTACTCAAATCTCTTCGATAGCCATGTCCACTTGCCGACATACCAAATTCCACAGGATGGATAATGTCGTTCCCAACGTTCTCCCTTCCGAAATCCGACACGCCATTTCGTCGGTAAAGAAACAAACCGCACCCGGCCCAGACAAGGTCAGACCTGAACACCTGAAGAACCTGCCGTCAGTACTCATCAATACACTGGCTCGGCTCTTCACTCGCTACCTGTCTGAATGCAAGGTTCCGTCCCAATGGAAAACCAGCAGGACCGTACTACTGTTCAAGAAGGGAGACATCCATGACGTTGGCAACTATCGCCTGATCTGCCTATTGTCTGTCATCTACAAGTTGTTCACTCGAGTCATCCTAAATAGGATTGGCAGAACACTAGATGAAGGACAACCATGCGAGCAAGCCGGGTTCCGCAAAGGATTCAGCACCATCGACCATATCCACACGATAACCAAGCTCATTGAGGTTTCTCGGGAGTTCAAGATGCCGCTCTGTTTAACGTTCATTGATTTAAAGAAGGCCTTTGATTCTGTTGAGACGGAAGCGGTCATTGAAGCCCTAGCCAATCAGGGCATTCAAGCCCAATACATCAGGATCCTCTGTGAGCTGTATTGCGGATTCACTACCAGGATCTCACCATTCTACAAAGAAGTGATCGTTGATGTCAAGAGAGGGGTGCGGCAGGGTGATACCATTTCACCAAAACTCTTCAGTGCCACCCTCGAGAACATCATGCGACGACTGGAATGGGAAGGAATGGGAGTGAAGATAAATGGTCGGCAACTACACCACCTCCGCTTTGCTGATGACATTGTTTTAATAACACCAAACATCAGCCAAGCGGCACAAATGCTGGCCGACTTTGACCGTGAGTGTGGAAAGGTAGGACTACAGCTGAATCTTACGAAGACAATGTTTATGAGAAACAGCCTTGTTCCTGACGCCCCATTAGCTCTCAATGGAACGACCATCTCCGAATGCAACAGCTATGTGTACCTAGGTCGAGAGGTCAACATGACAAATGACCTGGCACCCGAGCTGTGCAGGAGGAAGAAAGCGGCTTGGAACGCCTTCAAGAACGTCGAAGAAATAGCTAAGAGGACGAAGAACCTCCGGCTCCAGGCACATCTCTTTGATTCCACTGTTCTTCCTGCATTAACATATGCCTCAGAGACCAGGGCCCTACGCAAACAAGATGAGAACGCTATTCAGGTCTCCCAAAGAAGAATAGAAAGCTATGCTTGGAATATCACGTTTCACTCAAATGAGAGAAAGAATCCGGAGTTCTGACATCCGTCGACGATCAAGGATCAGGGACGCTGTCTCATTTGCCAAGGTGTCGAAAATCAGATGGGCTGGTCACGTAATGAGATTTAAAGACGACCGCTGGACTAGAGCTGTTACCGACTGGATTCCACGAATGTCAAGAGACCGCGTGGCCGCCCACCTACCAGATGGTCAGACTTCTTCGTCAAGATCATGAATGATCGGTTTGAGGCCCTTCATGTTCCCGGAGCGAACAGATGCCATTGGGCTACACTAGCACGCGACAGGGACAAATGGAGACGTTACTGGCGCCCACTCGAGCAAATCGACAACTAACGGGAAGTTAAGTGATTAAGTGACTTGTGTTTTGGGGAGGCCACCCCAGCAGTGCTCAGGAGACCGTGCAGTGATGCAGACAAGCCTGGGCCACTCGTGCAAGGCCGGCCCCTGCTGCGTCTTTGGAACAGCAGCATCATATTCCCCAGGCAGTACCCTCCAATGGGATGCTGACTGATTTCCCTGTTCCGAGTGTGTGTGTCCACTGCCCGGCTAGGGCTGCAGCCCTCTGGGTGGCATGTGTTCTTCAGGTCCTTCAGCTGAATGCCTCAAAGGCATTGAATGATGACCCCAGATCATTGTTGGGTTTTTTGTTTTTGGAGGGAGGGGTGTTCTGGGGCTGCTCCCTGTGCAGTGCTCAGAGGCCACTCCTGGTGGTGCTGGGTACCAAGCTGAGGCCTTGGGCTGGAGAGTGCACAGCAGGGATCGATAGACAGGCTTCTGTTTCCTTCTGCTCCGAGTGCACTGGTGCATCTATTCTGAGCATGGGTCTGCTGGGCGGGTCCCTGTGGGCTGTGCCTCAGGCCTGTATGTGCATAGTGTTCCAGCAGGGAGGCCTGGCCAGCCTCCTGGGAGTGCCCAGGGGCACTGCGCTGTCTGTAGCACCTTCTGCCCTGCCCGCGTGGCACTCACGTGCTTTCCCAGCCCTGCTCAGAGTGAAGTCAGTTCTGTTGCCCACAGGAGGGACCTCCTAGGGCTCCTGGCCGCTGGGTCAGTTCTAAGTTAATCCCTGGCCCCTCTAGGAACCCACTTCCAGCGGGTGATCCCAGAAGATGGTCCTGCAGCCCAGAACCCAGAAAACGTCAATAGGCTTCTCTTCTGCACCGGCAAAGTGTACTATGACCTCACGCGTGAGCGCAAAGCGCGTGGCATGGAAGAGCAGGTGGCCATCACACGCCTCGAGCAGGTGAGGCTCGGCCCCCCCATCCCCAGCCCCCCAGCTGCCCGCTGGCCGGTGCACTAGCAGTGTGTTGGGGAGACTGTAGGGGATGGACTGTTCCTGGCTTGGGGGTCACTACAGTGCCCAGGAGACTGTCCCCATGGGTCTCAAACTGGGGTTGGCATTGTGCAAGGCAGACCCGTAGCCCTGCATCTCCAGCTGGGTCTAGGCTTGTTGGGTTTGGGTTTGGGCTCCGGGGCTGGGGGTCCTGAACCCCTGCCGACGCGGCCCTGGGCTCTCCGCAGCTCTCCCCGTTCCCATTCGACCTGCTCCTGCGGGAAGTGCAGAAGTACCCCAACGCCGATCTGGTGTGGTGCCAGGAGGAACACAAGAACCAGGGCTACTACGACTACGTGAAGCCGAGACTGCGGACCACCATCAACCGCGCCAAGCCTGTGTGGTGAGGCCCCGGCCGCGGCCCCTACCCAGCACCGGGCCCCGGGGCTCGCCACCAGGACTCAAACGCCGCCTCCCGCCCGCAGGTACGCAGGCCGGGACCCCGCAGCGGCCCCCGCCACCGGCAACAAGAAGACCCACCTCACGGAGCTGCAGCGCCTCCTGGACACGGCCTACGACCTGGACGCCTTCAAGAGCTTCTCGTAGCTGCCTCGCCCCCGCCACGCCGTGCCCCTCCCGCCCCCCGCTTCCCCACTAAAGAGTTGTGCCTCCGCGCACCCCCCGCCGCTTCCTCCCGCACGCTCAGGTCAGGCTGCTCCCGCCCCTGTGCTCAGCTGCCCCCAGCCCAGACACTCCCCGGCTCTGTGGCGTCTGTCGCCCAGCGGTGGGGGGGCTGGAGGCAGGCCGTGTCCAGGGGATGTCCGCTCTGGCTCACTGCCTGGAACACAGGCTGGGCGTCCTCAGGGCCTGCATGTGACCAGGAAGCCCTGCCACCCCCCCGGCCCCTGGACTCCTCAGGGGCCATCCATGGGTCTGTGGGCTGGACAGCTCAGGACCACACTGCCCGAGAACACGGGCTGGGCTCCTGGAGAGAGCCTGGGCCTGGCATGGAGAGGGTAGGTCCACTCTGCGGTGGCCACTCCCCCCCCCACCCCCAGAGCTCTCAGCCACATGGGCCCCTCCCCTGCCCCCCGCACGCTCCACCTGCTACGGGCCCCCGCTGGTCCTCAGCGTCTGCTCCTCCCGCATGACCGGGCACGTTTCCTGCTGTGCCCCATCTGGGCAGGTGCCCGGCGCAGCTCAAGGCCAGAGACTGCTCCCACACTGGTCACAGGACAGATCTGAATTATTTATTTTGGTTAAAAAAAAAAGAACAAAACTTTGCATCGCACTTGGCTTGACCCATAAACTTAAGTTATCCGCACCTGTTCTCTGCGTGCTTTCTGCTGCGCCTTCTCCCCTTAGGGAAGGGGGCTGGGCCCTCCTCCCCTCCCCAGAAAAGCTCCCCAGGTCAGAGCGGAGAAGGGCAGGTGGGCAGAGGCAGAAGGCCACGTTCCTGGCTGTCTCTGAGCAGGGGCGGGGACTCACTCCCAGAGGAGCCGATGGGCTTCCCAGGGTGGGTGTAGCAGCCACAGGCCCTGGGCTCAGCTGTCCCCTCTCAGGAGCTGGGAGAAAGGGCGGGGGGCTGCATCTCACTGGCCTTCTCAGTCGCTGCTGCCTTGCTGGGTTCTGGACCCCAGCACGAGGGGCAGGACCCGAGTCCCCCAAGGACTGTGTGGCCTCTGCGGCCCCTTGGTCCCTCCTCACCCAACCTGCATTAGCGTGGGTTTGGAGGCCCTGGATGGCTCCTGCTGCCCGCTCTGGGCCTCCCCAGCCCTGCCTTCTGCTCTTGGGCCTGGGCCTGGCCTCTCCTCTCAGCTGTCACCTGCACCCAGGCCTGGAGGGGCCCCAGGTCAAATGGGGCCAGCCCTTCTCTCCACAGTCATCTGTTATGACTCCGAGTCCTAATGACCGGGTGGGTCATCAGTCCAGGGGTCAGCACCAGAGTTCCAGCAAAGGTTCTGAGCTACCCGTGTAGACGTGAGTGAAGCAGGTGGAGGGGAGCAGTGGGCTGCCAGGGAGCGGCCCCAGGGCACAGGTGAAGGCCTGTCAGCCCCAAGCACAGACAGGGAGCACGGTGGGGAGCAAGGAGCTGAGGGCTCCTGCCCACACACAGAGCCTGGTGTTCAGCCCATGGCACAGGAAAGAGCACAGTGGACGCAAGGACCAGTGTGCTTGGGGCCAGAGTCAACCAGGCCTGTATCCAGGCCTTCATCTGTGCACATTTCAGTGGCCAGTGCTCGCCTTTAAGGGGCTTCTCAGGGGCCGGAACAACAGCACAACAGGTAGGACATTTGCCTTGCACGCGGCCGACCTGGGTTCGATCCTGGCACCCCATATGGTCCCCCAGGCACCGCCAGGAGTGATTTCTGAGTGCCGAGCCAGGAATAACGCCTGAGCATCGCCGGGTGTGACCCAAAAAGCAAATTAAAAAAAATGATAAAGGGGCTTCTCAGAACGGGGTCAGGCAGGTTCCTGCCTACCCACCCCTCGCTTTGTTTTGTTTTTTTTTTTAATTCACAATGCTGGGATCAAACCCAGCAATTGTACACACAAGCAATGAGCAAAGGTTCCAATTTAGTGGGGGTGGGAGTGGGGGTGGGAGTGGGGGAGTGAGGGGCATGGCCGTCATGCTCAGGGCTTACTCCTGGCTCCGTGCTCAGGCATCACTGCTAGTGGGTTCGGGGGACCACATGGAGTGCCGGGGATTGGACCCGAGTCAGCTGGGTGCAAGGCCCTCCTCGCTGTACCATCTCTCCTACGCAATTCCCCTTCTGCCAGGGCAGCCTGCGGCCACACCCGACATCCACCAACCTAGAAATGGCCCAACCACAACTGAACCCCATCAAGCCCAAGCCACCAAGCTACCAAATCACTCGAGCTCCACAGAACCTGGAGCAAACTTCCTCATGTCAGCCCAGCAGGACCCCAGCAGATCTGATGGGAAAGTTGCACAGAAGCCCAGCAGCTTAGGGAGCAGAAACTAACACAGGTTCAACCAGCACCAAACAGTACCGCAGATCCACAGACGGCATCAGTGGGGCCATTGAGAGATACAACAAATATGATAGTCCTTCATTTATCTGTTGGATAATTTCGTCTGCCTTTATGTTGTCACATGAAGTAAATTTGTGCTTGCTTTAAGGGGCTAGGCTGGGTGGTGCGGGGCGGAGAGATATTGAGAACGTTGGTGAAGGGAAGGCACACCGGGGGTCAGGTTGTCGAACATTGAATGTTCAACACAGCTATTAGGAATGACTTGGTAAATGACAGTGTCATAATAAAAACTTGAACATTAAAAATAAAGTAGGTTAGTGTTGCTCTTCCGCCTTCCCCCCTACCCCCGGCAGCAAGGTGGTTGCCACCTCAGAGCTTATTGGAAAGCCAGGTATGAGGTATGAGCCGGCCGTGACAGGACAACTGCAGTCTCATGGGAAGAGGGACAGTACCAGCTCGTCCTTCACGCCCTACCAAGGTCATGAGTTGCCCCCCACAAGCGGCTCTCCGGCACGACCATAACACCAGACGCACAGAAACCAATCTCATAATCATCTGGCTCTTTGCAGAAACCCCTGTAGACTTACCTAGTAAAATATCAGAAATCCAAAATCATATGGGTCTCATAACCAGCCATAGAAAACAAATTATTTCACAATGCCTTTTCAGCAATTCTTATTGTTGGGGGGAAATTCTAAACAATAATGGTGCATCTTTTGTCGAAATAATAAATGTAATCAAAGTAGAAAAAATATAGGTTAGGGGGTGGAGAGATAGCACAGCAGGTAGGGCATTTGCCTTGCACGTGGCCAACCCGAGTTCGATTCCCAGCATCCCATATGGTCCCCCGAGCACCGCCAGGGTAATTCCTGAGTGCATGAGCCAGGAGTAACCCCTGTGCATCTCTGGGTGTGCCGCTAAATAAATAAAGTAGGTTAGAAAGGCTGGGCCTATAGCAAGTAATACGTTCCCTTGCACACGGTCGACCCAGGTTCAATCCCCAGCACCGTACAGTGTCCCATGAGCACCACCAGGAGTGATCACTGAGTACAGAGCCAGGAGTCACTCCTGAGCACCGCCGGGTGTGTTGGAAAAAATTCAAAGAGAAAAAATATAACCCTTGCATGATTATTGGGACTTTTCTCGCCACCCTTTCTGCAAGAAGGCAAGGAGAGAAGGATGTGACTAAGGTCTGTTTGTGTACCATATGTGCCGTCTGTACCATCGTGCCGCCTATGCCATTTCTGCCACCACCTGTGCCATCTCTACCATCGTGCCATCGCTCTCACCTCTGCCATCTCTACCTTCTGTACCATATGTGTTATCTATCATCTTTGCCATCTGTGGCACCATCTGCCATCCTCTGTAGCCAGCTGTGCCAGCTTTGCCCTATGTGCTGTCTCCTGAACACTCGCAGGAAGAGAGCTGCTGCCAGGTTTGGGGGGTGCCTTGCCTGTGTGAGGTCCCAGGCTGGTGCGGTCCAAGTGTCCCCATACACTGCTAGTGTAACCCCACATGACAGCACCAACACTACAGTGAGCCCGTGTAAGACTCTGCTCCCCTCCTGCTGTCTTTGGGGGTCCCCCCCAGGTTCTCAGAGCAGCGGGTGGTGGTGGGGCTTCTAAGCCGGCTCTCCAACCCTGCCTTTCGCTTGGGGGACACACCTGCAGCTTCTGGCTCTGGGTCGCTCCCTGGTGCTGGGTGTCCATGTTGGGCTTGGATGCAAAGTTCCTACTCCAGCCCACAGGCCTTTCCTCTCTGGCTTCCATAGTGGGTTCTCCCTGGTTTTCTTTGGGTGAGGGAATGATTCATCTTCCTTTCCAGGAAGAAGTCTATTTTTTGTTTGTTTGGGGGCCACACCTGGCAGTGCTCAGGGCTTACTCCTGGCTCTACACCCAGGGATCCCTCCTAGTGGGGCTCAGGGAACCCTATGGGGTGCCAGGGGTTGAATTCAGGTCATCTGCGTGCAAAATTCACACCTCCCCCACCTGCTCAACCCAGGAACGTGGCTGAGTGAGCCCAGACAGGCTCAGAGACCCAGGAGGTACAGGCTTGAGCACTGACTGGGAGAGCAGCATACTAGTGTTCACTGGGGATGCTGAGGAGGCCAACAGGCTCCAGGTCAGACTGGCTGGGAAGAAGCTCTGACACTGAGGTGGCCAAGGCCAGCCCTCTACTCAGACCTGATGGGGCTCCAGACACCCTGGGCTCAGCTGACTCTTCAGCATGGGGCTGCGGATGCTGCCAATAAAGCTGGGATCACCTAAACAGTTCATCCAGGGCCAGAGAGATACTACGGTGAGTAGGGCACTTGCCCTGGACACACTGACCTGAGTATGAACCTTGGCATCTCATGTAGTCCCCTGAGCACCACCAAGAGTGATCCCTGAGCACAGAGCAGGGAGTAAACCCTGAACACAGCTGAGTGTGGCCCCAAACAACAAAAATAAAGTCTACCTGGCAACTCCTAAATACATTATTTTCACCATTAGAAAAAAGGATAATTAGGGGCCAAAGAGTAGAACCAGTGGGTAGGGCGCTTGCCGTGCATGTGGCTGACCTGAGTTCGACCCCCAGCATCCCATATGGTCCCTTGAGCAGCACCCGGGAGTAATTTCTGAGTGCAGAACCAGGAATAACCCCTGAGAATCACTGGGAGTGGCCCAAAAACTAAATAAAAATAATTAAAAGCTTAGGGAATAGTGTTAACAAAAAAGTACCAAATTGGGGACACCACATCTGGTCCCTTGAGTCATGCCAGGAGTGATCCCTGAGCACTGCTGGGGGCAGGAGAGAGAGAACCACAAAACAGTGGAAAATACAAACTTACATCTAGAATCTATATTTTAAAAAATTCCTGCAACTCAGTCATAAAGCAACCCAGTTCTAATTCACAAATGACTAATAGGCAGATAAAAAGGTATTCCACATCATTAGCCATCTGGGAAACGCAGTGGAAACCACAGTGGGAAACCACTTCAATCAGTACTAGGGCGACTCATTAAAAAAGACATAGGATGTGGATGAAATGAATCAAGAAGCCCATTGTTGGTGGGACGTGAAAACAGCGTAGCTGCTGGGTCAAGAGACAGCACAGCAATGAGGGCGCTTGCTTTGCACGCAGCAGATCCGGTTTGATCGCCAGCATCCCATATGGTCCCCCGAGTCCATCAGGAGTGATTCCTGAGTGCAGAGTCCAGAGTAACACCTGAGCATTGATGGTGTGACCCAAAAACACCACCCTCCAAAAAATAGTGTCTCTGCTTGGGAAGATCAGCAGTTCCTTCAGGGACTTCAGAGACTCCCTTTAGAGGAGCCTGAGAAATG